GATCTCTGTCCATTGGTCCAAGTCTTTATATAATAAATATGTAATAGAAAGCTTTATATTGACTTTTACTTGATCTGCATTTTTCTTACAAGTACAATAAACTTTCTAATGTACCAGGATTCAATTCTCCCTTACAAAGCTTTATATGTCCTGTTTTTGTGTTTGCATAAGTGTTTGTAACTTTTTGTAATTGCTTGTCTGAGGCTATATATGGGGACATGCCTGAAGAATGGCTTCTTTGTTGTTGTTAAATATTTATTCATTTGAAAGCTAGGGTTACAGAGGGGCAGAGAGAGTGAGAACACTGGTTCATTCTCCAAAGGGTTGCAATGGCCAGAGCTGTGCTGATCCGAAGCCAGGATCCAAGGCTTCTTCTGGTCTCCCACGTGGATGTAGGGGCCCAAGGATTTTGGCCATCTTCTACTGCTTTCCCAAGTCATAGCATAGAGCTGGATAGGAAGTGGAGCAGCCCGGACTCCAACCAGCAGCCATGTGTGATGCCAGCACTGCAGGTGGCGGCTTTACCAGTTTTGCCACAACGTGGGCCCCGGGAATGGTTACTTGAATTGTGTGTGTGTGTGTGTGTGAAAGAGAGAGAGAGAGAGAGAGAGAGAGAGAGAGAGAGAAATAGATAAAGATTTTTTTATCCACTGATTCACTTCCTGGATGACCACAATGGTCAGGCCAAAGCTACAAGCCAGGGACCCATTCCAGATCTCCCACATGGGTGGCAGGAGTCCGAGGACTGGGGTTGTCTTCTGCCCTCCTAGGTGAGTTAACAGGGTGCTGAATCAGAAGCTGAAGAGCCAGGATTCAAAACCTTAAGTCCCATATGGGAAGCTGATGTCCCAAATGCAGCTGAACCCTCTGAACCACACCTCCAGATCCACTCAGATTTATCCAGTATCAGACAGAATCTACTTTGTATTACTGATCGTTACTCTCATTTTCACACGAAATGTGCACTAGTAATGCCCCAGGGAATGCTGATAAATTGGTGTTTGGGAAGCAATATGGAAGTAGATCTCAAGAACGTGAGATTCAAAAGGAAGATTGAGCTAAGGGATCAGAAGGTTGTTTCTCAGGTCCATGATTTATCCTCCAAGAAAGTAGAATTAGCAGACAGCAAGTATCCCCATCTGTTACAGAACAACCCTTCCATGTTGTCTGTTGGCAAGGGTTTTTCAAGAGGGGATTTTCCATGAGCTTTCTGAAGTTCACATGCATGGATTAAAAAAAAAATGCACCTGCAAGTTGCCCCAAATGATGACCTGATTGGGAACAACCAAGAGAGTCAAGATACAAGTTTGAATCAAAACGTCATCACCAACAGCAATACATCAACTTCCAAAAGAATCAATTTAAGAAAAAGACTTAATTTAAGCACAAGTCGTATTCCAAAACTGATTATCAAAAAGGCGAATTGCTCAGGAATGAGACTAGAAGCATGCAATATATTTCAAAATGTGAAAAAAAATGCACCAAAGTAAATATGTAAATGTCATTATACACAGACTTCATGGGGTACTCTTGTATTTCTAATTGTTTTAATCTTTATTGGAACATAAGCTCTCTGAGAAGGCAGAACATTTTATTTTGTTCAACAGGGTGTTAGAAGTGCCTAGCACATAGTATGTGCTCATAAACATCTGTCAGCTTCATTGAAACACAGAATTCGCCCCAGGCCTAGCGTTAAACACAGTTAATTAGATGGTTCTATACTGAAAAACAGTGCGGTCCTAGGTGCAGAAAGAAATTTGTTTGGATTTTCTAACCCTGTGTAACAAGTCACCCGAAACGTTGTGGTTTAAATGGTACTTATTAATTTCCCACTATTGGGGGGATAGCTGGGAGGTTCTTACTTGGAGTCCCTTGTGTGTATAGTCTGGCGGTTGCTGGGCTGATGGTTCCTTCGTCATGAGGCTGTAGAAAGTTGGGAGAAGGTAACCATTTCTTCCTCCAGGTGGTGTCCCTACTTGGCTCACTTCTGCTTCCTCACCACATGGGCAGTAGGTGTGATTTCTTACACTGTAGCTGGATCCCCATAGAGCCAGTATTAGGAGAGGCCCAGGTGGCAGCTGTCTTGCTGCCTTAGAAGCCTTAGTATCATTTATGCATGTTCCAGGAAGGAAAGAATTCATTTACTCACAGGATAATAAACTCATGATGTTAGAGGCAAAGTGACCTTCTGAACAGAATGCCATGGAAAATATGGAGCACATAGTACTGACCGGTAATTAGGATTAAGAACGGTGTGTCTGGTTAGATTGCCCTGGGCAAGTCCTGACTTCACCATACACTAGTTCTCTTAGGCACATCTTGGCCATTTCAGGTTCAATTTCTCATCCATAATAATGGATAAGTCCTTTCAAATTGCATTGTTAGGTTCTTCTGCCATTAGGCATGTTCTGGTGGGAAATTTTGAGACTCTTTGTAAAAGCAACATGGAAGCTGATATAATCAAACTAAGTAATTGTATTTGGAATATTGTTATTTCTAGTCATTTTGGCCACTAATTTGCTCTTTAAAAGTGGAATGAACCAGTGATTGGTTGGTTTAAGTTTTAGGAATGTAGGGAGATGATCCTTCTTGTCTGGCCTTGGCTGCATGCATTATGGTGCAAAAAGGCTGAAAAATCATCCCATCACTGATTTACTTGAAGTTTACTATTAGATAACTTTATTACAGATCAGTCCCTCCTGGTGTTTAGACCTCTGTTCTTTAATGCTAGAAATGTACTCGTCAGTGACCCTGAAGAAAATTCTACTTTGCAGTGAATTCTGCTACCACTCCAGATTCATCCTGTTAGCCATCTGATGCAATGTTGAATGGGTTTTCTGAATCAATGCCGATTTCTTGGAAGCCAAACCATGTAAAGACTTTCAAAGTTAGAACCTGTACCTGCTGTTCTTATGAAGCCAGGTTCCATTGGTTGGCTTCAAGGATATGCGAAAGTGAAGAATTTGGAGATTGTTTTTGGGACCATTTCCTAATCTTATGCTGAAGCATCAGTTCTGTTTGTACTAAGGTTATTTCAGGTAGTAATAGATCTGCCTTCTCTTCACTTAACTTGATCTTAGACAGCAAGGCATTCTGATTGTGGAGTGTTACTTTGTTTTTCTTATTATCTCTACATTCTTCTGTAATAATGGAGTGTCAGAGGAGGCTCACCGAAATAAAAACCAAAGGACTGTTTTCACTTTCTAATACTACCATGTAAATCGTCTGTTCACATAACCATCAGTATTCCACCTTCTTCTTGGCATATTATGAGGGAAACATGAAAGGTTTTAAAAAATCCTGAGAGCATTCAAGTACAAGTCATTCTTAACAATGGAAAGGAGATAGATACTGTTGTTTTCCAGCTTTGAAGAAGTTAAGAGTTCCAAAATGTTTAAGTTGTGCTGGGGATATTATAGGAGATGTACATAGACTTTTCTGCGCCTGGTCATGAATATTTTTCAGATCAAGGATGTGATTTCTATTCCTCTTGCCTCATTCTTATAAATGTTGTAGTTGTTTTCAGTCTTTCTCAGTGAATGTTGTTATTCCCAACTCCCCATACGTTCCACCCAGTATCCATGTTGACCCACATTTTTTGCCTTTAAAGAGAGTTACCATCAAGGAGGATGAGCAGAGCAGAGTAATTGTTGTGGCCAGATTCATGAGTAGTGGTAGGAATCTAAATGATAATTGTGTACACACAGGCCACCATGGGTGTTTTGTGAATAGTATTTTCAATGTGGAATCAAGAGCATTACACTCTTTTGATAGAATACAACCAAAGTACTATGGTACAGTTGTCTCTATTCACATGTGGGAACTTACTCAAAGAAGTGGTAGAAAAATCTGACTGCAGGGCCTTAGTGTAGGCTTTGAAAGTAACCTTTACAGTCATTTCATTTCAGTGTTGCTGATGGGAAAAGTACTTGTGAGACTATGCAGCATTTAGAATCAGTATTTTATAAAACTTGGTAATTCAAATTTCTAGACAAAGACGTGATGCTGGAGTCATTCCAAGTATTATATTGTTGTCCGTTCATGGAGACGTTCATGGAATCAGGAGCCTGAAAAGAGTGATTGTGGGGAGCAACTCGGACTAGACTAAGTTACTGGAATTAAAACTTATTCTATGCATCTGCTCTCCCACAATATGGCGCTGGGAGAGGAGTAAACAGCTTCTGCGCAGCTGCCTCCAGTTCGACCAATAAACTGCAGGAGCTGCTCCTGATTGGAGGAGAGCAGCATGCTCGGCGTGTGGGTAGCCGAGTTGGGATCGGTGGAAGAGGACTATAAAAGAGGAGAGAGACAGCACAGTGGTGTGGGTTGGTTGGAAAGTGCGTTGGAGAGTTTGCGGGGAAGTTCGTTGCTTCGTTCTTTCTCATTTCTCTCTACTCATTCTTGCTTTGGGAGTTCGCTGTTTGCTTATTCTTACTTTACTATAGAAAAGACTTGTAAAAGGGGAACAACAAGCATCCGGTCCGGTGTGGCTCCTCTGCAGAGGAGCAGCAAGTGATGGTCTCTCTAAGATCCTTCAGTGGGGCAACCAAACCTTGTTTCACTATGGAAACAATTGTGAAGGACAGCTTCTGATTCCCCAAATTTCATGTCATGAACTCTGCGAAGTGATAACATTCCCAGTTCTGAGTAAAAGGCCTATGGAAGTGTTACCGATTTGAGAAAGCTGACAATCTGTTTTGCAGTTGAGATTAAGAATGGACTCTGTGTATGTCAGATGTTTCATACTTTGTTTTTAAAAACAGAATATAGTTCATGTGTTTGCAGGAGTAGATAGCACGCAAGGATTCAAACTTGATAACATGCGTTAGATGTTTTTGTAAAACCTGCTTTGGTTTTAGATGTTTTTGTAAAATCTGCTTTGGTTTTCAGTCATTTAGTGTATTTCACTGCCTTTTCACTCCTGTAAATTAACTATTCAACTGCTAGGCAGTCTTTATAATTTTATGTTTGACATAATTATCATCTGTTCTGCTTTATAGTAAGATTGTACTCCACCCAAATAAGAAGCAATCAAAGGAATTAAAGCAAATAGCAGTCAAATTCACATAAGTGAATGCTAGAGGCTCAAGGATTTGTAAGTATTGATTTGGCAACATCTAAGTTGCTGCTGGCACAAAACTTCTATTTATTTGTATTATTTGAAGGATATAATGTAAATCTTTGTTAATGAAAAACTCAGGAAGGAAGTGATTAAATAGAACTAAATACTTCCTTAACATACAGAATGCTTACTTGCTGATCGGTATCGGGAAATACTGAAACTGGCTATCGTAAAACATTTGGTCTCAGGGAACCAGGTCTTGTAGGTCCATTTTATTAAAGATTTGTTTGTTTGAAAGGCAGAGTTGACAGGGAGATCTTCCATCTGCTATTTCACTCCCCAAATGGCCACAATGGAAAGGTCAGGCCAAAGGCAGAAGCCTGGAACTGCATTCGGGTCTCCCAAAGTGGTGGATGTACCCAAGCACTTAGGCCCTCATCAACTGCCTTCACAGGCAGATTAGCAGGGAGCTGGAATGAAGTGGAGCATTGGGACTCGAACCTGTGCTCACATGGGGTGCTGGCATTGTGGGCTGCAGCTTAACCCATCAAGCCTTAGTGCCAGCTCCTATCAGGTCCATTTCTAAAGCAATGGAGATCTTTTGGGAAAATCACTTCGGTCCGACCTGCTTGGTAAAGTAATCACAACAGAGTTCTTTCCTCTGTTGCTTCACTGCTTGACTGCCTGCAACTGCTGGGGCTGGGCCAGGCCAAAGCTAGGAGCCGGGAACTCAATCCAAGCCTCCCACATTGGTGGAAAGGAACCAGATAACTGAGTCAACTTGATCTACTGCCTCCCTGTGTGTATTAGCAGGAAATTGAATCAAAAGTGGTGCTTGGTCATGTATGGAATTTGGATTTCAATCCAGAGTTTGGTTCCCAACTGCATCACTTACTCTCATATGTCATTAAAAATGTTGTAATCTGTGTATGCCTTCATTCTCCCTCTGTTTTCTCCATTGCAGCCTTACATTCTAGTCATCTGCCAGACCCTCATCCCCCCAGTTTTCCACCATTGCACTACCATCCCTCCTACTCTATATTAGCTTCAACCTGCTTGAGGGCCTACATACTTGCCTCCCACTCCGTCCTCTCTATATATCCTCCCATTCCTTCTGGCCCACCACATTGGACTCACTTTCCTCCCCGCCTTCATACGAGCCTCATCATCCCAGTTGGTCCTGCACACCATCCTCACCCTCTTGTGAAGGCCAGCCTCACTCTACCTCTGGTCCACAAAAACAACCACACCTCATCCTCATGTTCTACCTCCGTTGCGTTTCCCTTGTTTCCCTGCTACAACTGCACCCTTCTTCTAGACTTCCACATCCGTTTCATCCTTACAGTTTTCTACCATATCCTCAACCTGTCTGTGGTACTCTACACCAGCCTCGACCTCTTTGTGGGGCCTACATCCTGGCCTCCACCCTTTGTAATTCACACTGGGTTCAGTTTCCTTCTGGCTGCCATACTAGAATCACTTTCCTTCTGACCCTCCAGCTAACCCTCACTCTCTTGGCCCTGAACACCAGCCTCACCCTCCCTCTGGTCCTCAGTACCAGCCTCACCTTCCCCCTGGTCCTCCATGCCACTCCAATCTTACTCTCCTTCTGTTGGTCCACTGTAGCCTCACTCTTCTAGCCCTTCACATGGGTTTCATCCACCAAATCTGCCATAACTTCACCTTTCCTGTGGTGCTCTACCCCAGCTTCATCTTCCTTGTGGGCCTCCATCCTGGCTTTGCACTGCTTGTGTGCCACTGTGACTTCCAACTTCCTTCTCATCCTCAGTGCCACCCTCTCCCTCCTTCTCAGCAATGCCACCCTCACCCTCCTCATTCTCTGTGCCAGCCTCGCATTCTTTCTATTCCTTGACACTGTCCTCACCTTCCTTTTGTGGCTCATCCCTGGAATAACCCTTCTGGTGATCCACCACCTAAGGATCACTTTCTCTCTGGTCTTCTGTCCAGTTTCTACCCTCTCTATAGTCATCCACCTAAGCCTAGCCTTCACTGTGGTTCTCAACATAAGCCTTTCCTGTGGACCTCCATGATAGCCTCACATCCCTCCTAGTCCTCCACACCAGTCTTACTGTCCTCTGTTTCTCCACTGCAGTCTTACCCTCCTTTGAGTCCTCCACTTGTGCCTCACCTGCCAACTCTTCTATCATGGCCTCACCTTCCCTGCTGTGCACTACACCAGACTCAACCACCTTGTAGGCTTCCGTGCTGGCCTCCCTCTCCTTGGCCTCCATATTGCCCTCACTTTACATCTGTTCCACCTCAGACATACTTTCCTTCAGACTCTGCAGCCCAGCCTTGGCCTCAGCCTCACCAGCAGATGGAAGAACCAGTGATGGAATCTCTGTCTCTATCTCTCTCTCTCCCTTTCTCTCCCTCTCCCTCTCCCCCCAACCCCTCTTTCCAAAGAAATCATTTAAAAAAAAAGAGAGAGATTGGATTCAGGAGCTGCAGGCAAGGATTAAACTCTGGTATTCAGGATGCTTGTTTCCCAACCACTGGACTATATGCCTGCTCCATTTTGTAACATTTTCAATGTTTGTTTAGTAGCTTCCCTTGAGTTTGCAACATGCATTTACAGCTAATCTCAGTCTATTTTCAAATATTCTGCTTCCTGGATACTGTGAGTGCCTCATAATAACAAAATATTCCCCATCTCCTCCCATTCCTTCAGCCCTCATGCACATTTTCTTTTCAGTGATAGAAAAATATATACACATGTAATATGTAAATATGAATATTATGTATGCCATTTTTGTGTATGTATTGTATTAATATGTATTAAAATAATATATAATGTGTTGCTATCATTATTTTCAGCAATCCCATTAGTAAATTAAGAATAAAAAAAGTAAAATTTATATTTTACTGCTATTTTTTTTTTCTCATGTTCTTCCTTTTTATGTAGATCCAAGTTTCTGACCTATATGATTTTCTTCCTCTCCAGAAAACTGTTGGCATTTCTTGCAAGATAGTCTTCTGGCAACAAAATGTACAATTTTTGCCTGCCAAACATTTATTTCTTCTTCACTTTAGAAAGACAAGTTTCAGGATACCAAATTTCAGTTTGGTAGTTTTTCTCTCCATGCTTAAAATAGTTTTCTCCACTCAGTTTTTCCTTGTGTGGTTTCTGAGGAGAAGTCAGATGTGTTTGCTCCCCCATGGATTGTTTATTCTGCACAAGCTGCCTTCAGGACTTGTTTACGGGATACTGCTGTATATAGTGAATATCAACAAGCCTTTGGAGAAGTTGTTTTGATTTTTTTTTAAGGAAGTATGGGAGGAGATATGGATCATTTTTTTAAAAACTGAGGACAAACAGACCTGTTTAAACTACATACTTCTAAGTAATGAAACTAAGAATGGATGTTGGTGAGCTACATCATGCATGAGATTTAAAATAGCACTCTTAATTAAAAACACAATTTTCAAGAGCATCGGTTAACAGAGAGCATTGAATTTGCCTCCACGCTTTTTCATTGTACTGCAAAGTAAGCATTTTGGGCAAGGACCACATGTCAGATTTATCTTTGAATCTCTCTTGCCTGCTAAAGGTAGTGACATGATAGGCCTGAATATGTGCTTAAATGACTCAATGAAGGAATGCAGTCATGCATTAAATTCAAATCAAACCTCATGGTGTTTGATGTCAGAATTGTGTAACTAAATGTTAGGTTCTAAAATGTCAACATGGTATTTCACTTGGAGAAAACGTAGATTAATGGCTCTGATTTTGAAACTACTTCCTTCTTTCTCAAAAAGTGCAGTAAACCTTGGGTGACAGTCACGAAGCCTCTTCCTACTGCAGCTAAGTAACATAGACCCCCTATGCCTCATTTGTAGCACTGATTTTAGGTTGTCTTGACAAATTACCAAGAGTTTTGCCATACCATTCTTGTTCTTTCTGGTTTGTCTGGTCTATATTGATATCTGTCACAGATTTCCAATCACTACTGTAAAACATTTAGTTCACTTACTTTATACAGAACAGTTCCAGACTCTCATTTGGAGTTTTACCCTGTGTATACAGTTTGAAATAGAATGAAAACCATTGGCATAGAGTCCCTTTTAAAGGTTTACCTGTTGTGGAAGCATTTGAAAGAAAACATATTAAGGGCAAAGGTAAATATTTACTTAAATTATTAAAACATCTTGAGATTTTTTTTGCTATGGCCCTGATGTCATAAAATTATATTTAAGCTAGTGTGATAACTTTGAAACCATAGATACAGAAGTTAGTATGCATTGAGAGGTACATAATGTATATACTGTTAGCTTGCTTGAATTAAAGGTAGCCATTGTATATTTTAAATTACTTTAATGTTGAAATTTGTATGTAGTTTAGAAAATGGAAGGTATGGTCTGTTGAGAGTTGGCTTTAATCCTCAAGTAGGTTGGTTTATACTCAATTTCAGGGAGACGACACACATATGCCTAGTAGGATAACTCAAACAGTAGGCTTTGTAAGGCAAAAAGCCTATGAATATCATGGAGAATAAGAATTTCAGGCTTTGTTTTTAATATTTATTAATTTATTTATTTGAAAGGCAGAGTTACAGAGAGGCAGAGGCAAAGAAAGAGAGAAGTCTTCCATCTGCTGGTTCACTCTCCAAATGGCCACAACAGCTGGAACTGCATCTGTCTGGAGCCAGGAGCTTCCCTCAGGTCTCTCAGGTTGGTGTAGGGGCCCAAGGACTTGGTCCATCCTCTTCTGCTTTCCCAGGCCATAGCAGAGAGCTGGATCGAAGTGAAGCAACCAGGACTCAAACCAGCACCCATATGGGATGCTGGCACTGCAGATGGTGGCCCTACCAACTATGCCACATTGCTGGCCCCAGAATTTCCAATTTAACGTTTTTTCCTACTTGCATTTCCATCGAAGAAGGGGTTGATGATGAGATGTTAGGAATCTATTATTACATGAAGGCATGAGGAATCTATTACAGCCCTCCTGCAGTACTCCCTCTTTCCAGCTTATGCAGACTGAATTTACAAATGGTTTTGGTGCTTCTATCAAACAGTAAATGATTTTTCCAATGTAAGCCATATTTATTCCTATTTTACTCAATGTTAGCATTAAGACTTAATGCTAACTAGCATTTTTAAAAAATTTAGTTAAAATTACATTTGCATATGAAAGTGGAGACAAACTTACTAATTTATTCTACTTCTAAATATACGTAAAATTTTCTTGAGGAAATAGGATGGCAGTCAAGTTAGAGAGGGCTAGTTCTTGAAAAGGAAGTTGTCATATGTAATCATTTAGGAGCGGCCATCTGGAGGCATGGATGCTCTTCACTCTTCACAATTATTTAATTATGTTCTGGGTGGCATTTCATTGCTTGGTGTCCTTTGTGGATATATTATACTTTGTACATCCAGTTGCTGAATCACAGTCATAGGCCGATTCCATATTTCAGCTGTTGTGAGTAGCACTTCCATAAACATGGAATGGAGATATCCTTTTGATGCACTGATGTCTTGTCTTTTGGACGTATACCCAGTAATGGAATTGCGGGATTTTGCTCAGTTCTGTTTTGTTAGAGAGACTCCCATACTATTTTCCATAATGGTTGTGCTAATTTGCCTTCCCACAAAACACTAAAAAAATTTCACCAGTCTTGAAATCCATGCCACCCTTTGTTATTTTTTGTTTTCTTCATGATAGTTATTCTACCTGGAGTGAGATGATAATCTTATTCTGGTTTTAACTTGCATTTTTGTGTTGATTAATGATGTGGAGAATTTCTTCATGTAACTACTGGACATGTGCATGTCTTCTTTTGAGATGAGTATGTTAAGTTCTTCAGCCTAGTTTAAAAATTGGTGGTTTTGTTTGTTTTTTTGTTGTTGTTGCTGTTGTTTTTTGGTTTTTTTTTTAGCCCTGGGTTTTTTGAGTAATTATATAGTCTGGATATTAACTCCTTTTAGAAAACCTGAGAAGTACTGTGTGGCATTGTATTGGGGACAGGTTTTGTTATTTACTTTTTGACATAGAAGCACAGGCTAGACTGGCCTGAGTCGTTGGCTCGGGGCTTCTCCCACACCAGGAATCTGAAGCAGTGTCAGTGGCCGTGGGCTTAGCAGGTTGGAGCTGGATGGACCTGATGCAAGGTGGTGGGCACTACTGGCACAGCACCCCGGCTGGCTGCATGGGGGAAGAGGCCCAGGCCCTGCTGCCCACGTGTGACTCTTGGGGGCTCGGCTGCCATGCCACTTTGTCCTGGGAGGCCCTGCTACATGCTGCTGCATTCTGGGAGCTGGGAGCCCAACAATGCCCTGCAGGTCTAAGGAGCCTGCCCTGGTCCCTGCACTGGCTGCAACCACTGGAGAATGAAACACCCCCGGGTAATAGCACCTGTGGCTTGGACAAGGAGCTCAGTGACCTCCTGGACTTCAGCATGATGTTCCTGCTGCCTGTGGCCAGTGGAAAGGGCTGGCCTGTCTCCTTGGCCAGCACACAGCTCAGAGGAACAGGTTCGGAGGACGGGCCCGGCTCAGGATCCTGGGATGCTGGCGACCAGAACACCTCCTCGTTTGACCCCGGCCAGAGCTACAGTGAAGGACCCACTTCAGTGAGTCCCACGGCAGCCTTTCTTGGTTCACATTCCTGGGACCTGGACCTGGACTTGGAGGCAAGGGAGGCCAGTGGGGCGGGTATCCCACCTTCTGGAGAGACACAGCTTTTGGTGGCTTGACTCAGGTCAGGTTCCTGACGGGCACGCTGGCCCTGCGCAGCCCCGGGCCATTGTCTTTCTCAGACATCAAGGGTAGCACCCAGTACAATGCCTCCTAACCTGGCAACCCTTGGGGCAGAGCCTCAGGTGGCCACTGGGCCCACAGATCAAGAATGTCCAGAAGATTCTACTTGTTCTTCCTTCCTCATCGTACCCTCCCACCTCCACCCCAGCTTAAGTGACGACTAAGGCAGGGATGCCTGTGTCTACCCATCTGCCAAGACTCCCTGTAGCACCTGCTCTGCAGCCTTCTACTGGCCAGCCTGCACCCTTCCTTGGAGCTCCAGAGCCCCTCAGACCAGGATGGTTTCAGGCCCATGCTGGATGGGAGCTCATCCGCCTGCCCCTCTGGATGGGCAGTGGTGATGGGTTTTGAGGCCACAGTGCATTTGGTAGCATGTGCTAGGAGCATATGGACTACTAGCCGCATGGAGCCGAGGTCAACAGTGGCCTCCCAGCCATGTCCACCTTCTCAGCACCCCCATAGCTGTGTACGGTGGCATCTCCAGCAACACACCACCCCTCCCATCAGTGGGGCAGGCAGCCTCATCGGCTCCCAAGAGACCATGGCCACCAGCAGGTATGATCTCTTATGTTTGTTTATTTATGTGTGTGTGTGTGTGTGTGTGTGTGTGTATGTGTGTGTGAGGGATTGGTTCTTCTGTCTTAAAAACTATTCAAAAGAGAAAGAAGAGAAACAGGCATGTGCCAGTTCAAACAAGAACAGATCCCATAGATGGATCAATGCCAGTATTCCTACAGCTCCTGCAACATGACCAGGCTGAAGCTGGGAACCAAGGCTTTGAAGCACAATTCAGGTCTCTCAAGTGGGCAACTGTGAGATAACTACTGGAGCCAGCATCAGCTGTCTCACTGGAACCATGTTTGTAGGAAGCTGGAATCCCAGGATGAAACCCAGAATTAAACCCAGGCACTCTCTTATTGGACCTACATGGGCCTCTTCCTAGCCTCTTTTTTTTTTTTAACTTTTATTTAATGAATATAAATTTCCGAAGTACGGCTTATGGATTACAATGGCTTCCCCCCCATAACGTCCCTCCCACCCACAACCCTCCCCTTTCCCACTCCCTCTCCCCTTCCATTCACATGAGGATTCATTTTCGATTCTCTTTATATACAGAAGATCAGTTTAGTGTACATTAAGTAAAGATTTCAACAGTTTGCACCCCCATAGAAACACAAAGTGAAATATACTGTTTGAGTACTCGTTATAGCATTAAGTCTCAATGTACAGCACATTAAGGACAGAGATCCTACATGAGGAGTAAGTGCACAGTGACTCCTGTTGTTGACTTTACAAATTGACACTCCTGTTTATGGCATCAGTAATCTCCCTATGCACCAGTCATGAGTTTCCAAGGACCTTGTCTAAGCAAGATAAGAGTCGGAGAACTCAAGGGGCTTCCATAGCCTTGGAAACTCATGACTGGTGCATAGGGAGATTACTGATTCCTAGCCTCTTTGGCTAACCGCTGCAAAGAGGATGGTTCCCCTCCTATTTCTCCCCTTAGTGAATGCCTATAAGGTATTTGTTCCTTACGTTTTCATCCTGTAGTTACTAACTCAATAATGTGCCAAGGACTTTACTGCTGTAGTCTATCATTCTAATAATTTTCAAGGTTTCTTTCATAAAAAAGGTTAAAAAGTAGAAAAAAGAAATCAGTTAAGGTTTTAAAAATAATTTAATAAAAAAGAAAAGTACTCCACTGAACATTTGGCCAAATATATGATTCCAAGGTGAATGTGGATGCCTTTCTTGTCCTAATGAAATTGAAACAGTTGGGGCTGTCCTTTTTTTTTTTTTTTTTTTGTACAACTTAGATTTGAGAGGCTGATGCCTATGTCCTCAAAGTATTATATTTCAGTTGTCAAATGTAGGCACGCAAAGATTTCAGAAAATGATAACCTCGGAGAGTAGTAAATATGTGTGTCCCTGACAGCAGTTTCGTTTAGTGGTGTTTTAATGAGTGGAAACCATACATGGAAATTGATTGTAGGGAATAACTTATGATTTCCTTGCTTTTAGTAACATACGTATAAAATAATGAAGATTTGATCTATGGTAGCAACTCTACAATCATATATGTGGGCCTGACCTCTTTGATTGAAGCAGCTGCTGCATAGAGATGCAAGCACCTTCATTGAAGCATTGAAGTTAAAAGTCATGTTAGCATTCTTGTCTGCCACGTCTTAAATATATATCATTTTTTAAAAAGGAAGTATTTATTTGAAAGGCAGTTACAGAGAGGCAGAGCAGAGAGAGGGAGGTCTTCCATCTGCTGGTTCACTCCCTAGATGGCCACAGAATCTGTGCTGATCTGAAGCTAGGAGCTTCTGCAGGGTCTCCCATATGGGTGCAAGGGCCCAAGGACCCGGGCCATCTTCGACTGACTTCACAGGCCATAGCAGCTGGATTGGAAGTGGAGGAGCTGGGACTTGAACTTGTGCCCTTATGGGATGCCAGCACTGTAGGTGGTGGCTTTACCTGCTATGCCACAGCGCCAGCCCCTAAATATGAATCTTTCTAATTTAAGTATGTTAAGTTTCAGTAAACTATTATTTGATAATTCTGAGAGAAATACAGTGGTTTTTGTACTTGAGTCCTTTCTTTTGACATTTTAAGTATTGTGACCCTGAATGAATTGTGTTGTTGAATACCAGCTATGTCCTAGTAAAGATAGACAATGAATATGCAAGTTGAGGGCTGCTATTAATATACTTGTTACTCACTATGTTGCCAATTCATCTTGTAATCGGTGTTCTTTTTCATGTGTTTTTGTCTGTCACTACAGCTAAAGAAGTAAATAAGTCATGGCACGCTTAACAAAAAGACAACAGGCAGATACAGAAGCTATCCAGCATCTTTGGGCATCCATTGAGATCATAAGGAACCAGAAGCAAATCACCAACATTGACTGCATTACAAGGTAAGTAAAGCAAAAATACCCTGTAATATTTCATGTAAAGCTCTCCAAAATGCCTGTCTTTTCTGGTAGCCTACACGTGTTAGAGCTGAAGTCACTTTTTTGTCTTGTAGAAATACACTGTTGTTCAGAAAACAAACACAGCAACATACATAAGTAACCTGTATTTATTCATTTTAAATAAAAATATTATAAGTACTACTTATAATTGCTTATTAGCTATCAAGAATTTTTTATTTTTATTCACTTTTTATAAAAATACTATAAGGACTATTTATAATTGCTTGTTAGCTATCAAGAATTTTTTTTAACTTTTATTTATTTAAATATAAATTTCCAAAGTACAGCTTATGGATTACAATGGCTTCCCCCCCCCTCATAACTTCCCTCCCACCCGCAGCCCCTCCCATCTCCCGCTCCCTCTCCCAGATTCCATTCACATCAAGATTCATTTTCAATTATCTTTATATACAGAAGATCAATTTAGTATATATTAAGTAAAGATTTCATCAGTTTGCACCCACACAGAGCATAAAGTGTAAAATACTTTTTGAGTACTAGTTAAGCTATCAAGAATTTTTAACACTTGGCAACTTTATTTGCAGAGTGTTAAAGAAAAGTGATAGTAATACATGTCTTTGAATATTTCTGATTAAAGAAGTATTTACTCGGTCTTACTTTGTTAGGGGTTGCTTGTTGAATTTTAGCAAATATCAACATTAACATATTTTAATGATCTTTTTTTGTTTTTGTTTTTTTTTATCTGTAAATGGGGTGAGCTGAGTTATATATAGTTTTTATACATTATATATATAGTTATATATATTTTAGGTTTATTTATTTGAAAGAGTTAGAGGGAGAGACAGAGATCTTTCATCTGCCAGTTCATTCCCCAAGTGACCCCAGTGGCCAGGGCTGGGCCAGGCCGAAGCCAAGAGCCAGAAGGTTCTTCTGTGTCTCCCACGTTGGTTGCAGGGGCCCCAGCACTTAGGCCTCCCTCTGCTGCTTTCCCCGGCCATCAGCAGGGAGCTGAATTGGCACGGGAGTCGATGGGAGCCAGCACACATATGGGATATCGGCATTGAAGGCAGCAGCTTAAACTGCTATGACAAAAGGCTGGCCCCATATACTTTTAGATTTCTCAAGTCTTCCTTTAATTCCTGGAATTAAACTTGGTATAGAATTCTGATATTTGAACATATTAATGTATTAGTATTTATTAATTTATATTTAATAGTAGACCATATTTTAGTACTCCTGTGGAAAACTTTTTCTATTTTTTTCTTTTTTAGTTACTATTCCAGTTTACTGCCCAAATGCTGGCAATGGCTGCCAGCGTTGGGGTAGCATGGGGCGTCGTGGGAGAGCAGGGATGCCCAGTTCGTCTGTGGGCAGCCGAGGAGAAGGATGCAGTGGTGGTAGCGGGGACTCTGGGGAAGTGTCTGCAGGTATGTACCGTCAGTGACGTTGGGGCTCCCTGGTCCCCCACTCCGCTTGGTGAGTGAGACTTCCACTTCCCTGCCCGCTGGACCCGCGGCTCAGGTGTCCCTCCCACGGCCAGGTCTACTCACTGTTTGTTGACGCCCTGTAAGGAGAGTGGGGTCTGCCCAACAGTCCTGAGTTCTCGGCTGCTCAGAGGGCCTTTGGCGAAGCACTGGCCTGCTAAGAAAGTTAGAGAACACCTGGGCTGGCCGCGGCCTCAGGCAGGTCAGCGTGGGAGTGGCGTCCCATGCGCCGTAGGAGTCAGCGTCGGTGCCTGTGGGGCGTCTGCCTGCATGAGGCTTTGGCGTTGGTAGTATCAGCAGAACCAGCGGGGAAGTGCAGTTCAGTGGCCGGCCACGGAGAGAAGGATCCGGCGGCAACAACTTGGGAAGTGTTGGGCGGTCGGCCAGGAAGAGCAGGTGTGTACTGGTGGCAGTGGTGACACGTTGGACAGCAATGGCTAAGCAGGCAGTGGTGGCGGTGAAGAAGCGTCGGGCGGGGAAGCAGAAGACTTCGGTGGTGGCTGCCTGTCTGGCAGCAGTGGGGAACCAAGGGGCGGCAGGGGCCGCAGGTCTGTTTCCTCCGGCAGGGGCTTCAGTGTCGGTAGCAGAGGCCTCGGAGGCGTCAGCGTCAGCCTTGCATGGGGTGTCGTGTGCAGGGAAGCACAGTTCCGCGGCGGGCAGCGGAGAGGAAGGACGGGGCAGCAGTGGCGACTGCATATCTGTGGCCGTCTGCGAGGCAGCACAGATCTGCATCCATGACAGCAACGAGTAGCAGCACAGTGGCAGTGAGGTGGGCAGTGGGGAAGCATCCGGCGTCCTGGGTGGGGAAGCGTGCCTCGGTGTTGGTGTTGGTGAGGATTGCGGCATTCTGGGCGGGCAGGGGAGCAGAAGTCTTCAGCGGCGGGAACCAGGCCGTGGCGGCAGCTTTCTCAGTTCCGTGTTGGCCGGCAGAGGTGGCAGCCTCAGTGTCCAGGTGGGTAGCGATGTGGGTGTGGGCGTCAGTGTCACATGGAGCATCAAGGGCAGGGAAGCGCAGTTCGGCGGTGGGCAGCAGAGAGGAAGGATGAGGCAGCAGTGACTCCGCGAAGCATGGGGTGGTCGGCGACAGGGACACTTTGAGCAGCAGGGGTAAAGTAGGTGGTGGCAGCGACCCGTGGAGTGGTTTTGGTGAAGCGTCGGCGTCATTGGTGGGGAAGCATGGCTCTAAGTCTGCCTCGGTGAAGCGTGGGGCTTCCTAGGCAGGGAGGTGTAAGTCTATGGTGGCGGCAGCAACACAGAGGGCGGCTAGGGTCACCAGGTGGCGGGGGAGCTGGTGAGACGAGGGGCAGCGGCGCTGAAGTGTAGTTCCTCCTGGGCGGCGGCACAGCGGTGCCTTGGAAGTGTGAGGCGTTGCAGGCTGGGAAAGGGGAGTCTGCGTTGGTGGAGCGTGGGGCATTGTGGGCAGGGACGTGCAGTTCGGAGGTGGCGTTGACTGTGGCAGTGTGTTGGGTAGTGCAGAGAAGCAGGCAGCAGTGGAGAGGCAGTGGCGAAGAAGCCTTAGGCCACGGGCAGGGAAGTGTGGGGTGCAGGTCCCCTTGGAGCCGGTGGGCCTCTCGGGTTTTCATGGCCTGCACACAGAGATGCTCCCCTCCCCCTGCCTTTGCATCATGGCGTCCAAGAGGAAAGGGAGGGTGAGGGGTCAATATTCTTTGGGTGCTAGTTGTCCACAGCGTTTCACCTGGGGACAGGCTGCCTGCTAGCAGTGAGTTTCCTGCATCATCTGGGAACCGCCGGCTTCCAGAGTTGGTGATCCTGGTTGTGCTGGGTTGAGAGCGTCCAGGTGTTGGCAGTGCAGATGGAGAGCCAGATGGCGGGTGTGCCAGGACCAGCCTCTCTTGCCTGGAGGTTGTCGTCCACAGCATTTAGCTGGCTTTGTGCTTTGGGTGCTGATGAGACTGTGGCTACAGGTTGTGGCAGGAGTGAACATCCATTTCAGGTTGCAACCCGAGTGTCTGACAGGGCCCTCACTATTCCTGGAGGGTCTGGGAAGCAGCAGCCGGCACACAGATGATGGGCTGCACCCTGGGAGAGTGGCTGGGCACTCCTGTATTCCTGCTGGGACAAAATGTTGTCCGGTGGTATATTTTATGTATTTTAATTATTTATTTTTTGTTGTTTCCAATAAAAACTCTTACTTTGGTTTTAATAAATTAAAAGGAATAATTACCGTGCATTCTAGAATATTTTTAAACTGATGGGATAGGCAGATGTATTTGAAATATTTTTGTCTTAAATTTACAGTGTGGAGGATTTTCCCTGTTGTCACAGAGTTTGAGTTTCTTTAAATTTTTTTTATGTGACTGATGTGGAGAGAAAATTTAAGATTATCAAGGGTTTTTTTTGTTATTGCTGTTGTCATTTCCTATTTATTTCTGTTGACATGAATTGTTACTAAGCAGACATATATTAATATTAACCAGTGAAAAATGATTGTTTTTTGCCTGTACTCATTATGAAATCAGGACCGGACTTCAGTTAGGCATTACAAATGAAGAGATTGGAGAGGAAAACTTGTCATAATTGTTAGAATATGCTAAATGAAGGGAAAGGAAGATATGCAAAAAAATCCAAGGGAGTTTTCCTTTAGTTTTGAAAGATCACCTAATACTAGCTTTAGGCTTTTTAACAGCCTTTGGGTGTCATTCATCAGTACTAAAAGCTTTCTTGGGGGCACACATTTGGTGTGGGAGTTAAGTCAGTCCTTGGGATGTCTGTGTCTTGTGTTACAGTGCCAGGATTTGAATTCTGGATCCATCTCCAGTTCCAGCTTTTCTGGCAGTGTGTGTTCTGGGAGACATCAGGTGATGGCAAAAGTATCTGGGTCCCTGTCACCTACATGAGAGACTGAGTTCCTTGCTCCTAGCTTCATCCTGACCAAGTCCTAGCTGTTTGCAGGCATTTGAGGTGTGAGGGAGTAGATAGGAGGGCTCTCTTTGCCTTTCAAATCAATAAAGTTAACATTTTTTCAAAAATGTGATATTTATATTGAAAATGTATTTCAGAAGCAGATACTGATACATGCCTGCACACACACACACACACACACAAAATGCAAGAAACAGATATAAAGAGGACTCCCACCTGTTGGTTCACTTCCTAATTCCCACACCTACTGGTCCTGAGACTGGCTGAGTTGAGGAGTTGGGAACTCATTCCATGTTTCCAACAGGGGTGATGGGTGCCCAAATACTTGAGCCATAACCATTTCTTTCCATGTCCACAAAACAGGAAGCTGGAGTCAGGAGCCAGAAACAGGTACTCAGTTTCTTGGGCTATCACAACTGCCTTATAGGTCCACATTAATAGGAAGCTAGAGTCAGGAGCTGGATGTGGATACTTAACCCAAGTACTTGTAGTGTGGAATGAGGTGACTTTAATTGGCATGTTAACCTGTGTTTCAAAGATTTTTTCTTGTGACATCATATGTAGGTTTTTTTTTTTTTTTTTTTTTAAATCAGGCCTTAAGGCATTTGGATATAGCTGAAGAGCCCATGAGAGTATTTTAGGCATGGAAAGCCAAGACACTCGGGGGGGGGGGGGGGGAAGAAGACCTAAATGAAAGATCTCTGTGAGTGAGATCCCAGTGGAAAGAACAGGTCTTCAAAGAAGGAGGTACCTTTCTCTGAAGGGAGGAGAGAACCTCCACTTTGACTATGACCTTGTCTAAACAAGGTAAGAGTCGGAGAACTCAAAAGGCTTCCATAGCCTTGGCAACTCATGACTAGAGCCTAGGGAGATTACTGACGCCATAAACAAGAGTGTCACATTGTTAAGTCAACAACAGGAGTCACTGTGTACTTACTTCTCATGTGGGATCTCTCCTTAATGTGTTGTGCAATGTGAAGTAATACTATAACTAGTACTGAAACAGTATTTTTCACTTTGTGTTTCTGTGTGGGTGCAAACTGATGAAATCTTTACTTAATATATACTAAATCAATCTTCTGTATATAAAGATAATTGAAAATGAATCTTGATGTGAATGGAATGGGAGAGGGAGCGGGAGATGGGAGGGGTGCAAGTGGGAGGGAAGTTATGGGAGGGAAGCCATTGTAATCCATAAACTGTACTTTGGAAATTTATATTTACTAAATAAAAAAATAAAAAATTAAAATCTTTTAAAATGAAAAAAAAGATTTTTATTTATTTATTTGACAGGTTAGAGTTACAGACAGTGAGAGAGACAGAGAGAAAAGGCTTCCTTCCATTGGTTCACTCCCCAAATGGCTTCCATTGCTGGAGCTATGCCGATCCGAAGCCAGGAGCCAGGTGCTTCTTCCTGGTCTCCCATGCAGGTGCAGGGGTTCAAGCACTTGGGCCATCCACTGCCATCCACTGCCCTCCCGGGCCACAGCAGAGAGCTGGACTGGAAGAGGGGCAGCCGGGATTAGAACCCGGTGCCCATATGGGATGCTGGTGCCGCAGGCGGAGGATTAACCTAGTGCACCGCCGTCCTGGCCCATTATATGTAGTTTTTTTTTTTTCTCATGTACCATACTGTTCATGGTTAATGTTTCTGTATCTGTTATTTACTTAATGTACCTCATTTTCTTATTCTGTATTGAGTCTTTGCATTTCTTTTTTAGCAAATAGGTGAGCAGTGATGTAGGGAACATCATTTTTCTTTGTATTTTCTTTTAATTTTAATTAGTGTGTCCCAGACTCAGTGTGCTTTGTAGACACAGTTGTAAGAACTTAATGATAGTCCCTTCTGCCCTCCACCTTATTCTCTTGCACTGTTTCCTTCTCCCTTTTCTTTGTCCTTGGTTTAGTTTTTGAGAGAGCCAATTTTCAAATTAAATTACAATAAAAAGGCTTAATACTTTAACAAATAAGTTTAACAAGTAAAAAGCAAAATGATACCAGTTTAGTGAGAATATTAACAATGACTGTAAACAATAATTGAGTAGAAAAATGATCATTTC